AAATATAATAGAAAGTGAAAAATAATTTATTTCAAAAGTATTCTGTACTTTCATTTTTATTTTAAATCATATAATTTTTAATACATAGTTTCAGTGAGTAATTCTTAGTATCATGTGTGTGGATTATTTTCGTATTTATTGGGATATATCACCACATTTAATACATTTACATTCTGCTGGTTCTCGTATCTTGATTTCCATTATTCCATCATCTTCATTCATTAATTTTATACCATCTGCATCATAGCAATGGTGTAATGTAATATGTCTTTCTTTTAAGTAACTTTCTCGACAACAATAGCATTCCTATCCAACCAAAAAATTATTACTCCACTGCTTTCATAAAAACTTTATTTTTCATTGCAATAATATGGTCACCTTTGAAAATCCTGTAGTACTAGCAACACTTGGTTGTACCTGTGAACTGCAAAATCCTTCACATTTTGTAACAGATATATCTCCACTACATGTTCTTTTCAAACGTCCTATATCATCATATTCATCTAAAATGAACAAAATTTTTCTTTTCTTGCTACTTGTTTGCATACAAATTAACCTAAAGTGAAAAATAATACCTTTTGTAATATGTACTTCAGACTGCAATGTTTCACAACTCTCATCATCTGTAACTTGAGCAATTGTATCACAAGTAAATATGAATACAGTTAATGTTAAGCAAGTTGCAAATATAAACATTGTATAAAAGTATCTTTTAATTGATACTTATTTTTTATTTTTTACTTAATCTGATTCTAATATAGTAAAGGTGTGGTCAAAGATTCTGACTGAAATGAAAGAACAGAAAATCAAACAGATGCTTTTATAGGTAACTTTCCCTCCAACATGTAGTTACTTAGGGGTGCTGAACTCCTGCTAGGACATAATAGCTTAGCTGAATCAGGATAAGTTTCCCTTGCTTTTATATTGTACATTGTTAGATTTTTCTAGCATAGGAACAGTATTTTTTCAGTATTTTGCATCATGACTCTAATGGGTTTTTTATGTTTCAATGCACAGTGGGTGATTGTACTAAAGAAGTGTAACTTATGTTATTTAGATACTGAATCTTTTATACTTTTTATAACATCCTCTTACAGTTTGTTTACTATAAGTAATGTAAGTAAAAATATAACAACAAATTTTTCAATTTATTCTTTTTTATTATATGTATTTTCAATTGAATTGATACAAATGAAAAGTATCGTACTCAGTGATCATTTCTTGTATTTCCTGGACAATTGTCTCTTAAATCATCTTCATTATGATATGCTACTCCACACCAGATACAGTAAAAATGTTTTTTTCTTAAATATTTTGTTAAAATTTCAAGTTTTTCATCAACAGAAAAAGATTCATCATCTTCTTCACTGCTACTGTCTTCACTATTGCTTTCATTATCTTGAGGCAACCAATACCATGCTTCTATAGGTTTTTCTAATTTTTGTTGTGTATCTAATTGTTCACATATTTTTTGACTTTTATATAAGTCTATTTTTAATAACTGTTCTGTTCTTTTTTGTGCAATTCTACCACGGAAATCTTTCATGTTTTTGTTATCTAACTTATCATTACATGAATTATCCTTATTTTTTCTTTCTTTTTTCTTGATTTCTTTTCCTAAACCTTGTCTGCCTAATTTTACTTCAAGGCCAATTGGTTCAGTTCTTCCTGATTCTGTTTTACCTATGCCTTGACCAGGTTTATAACCCATTTTCATAAGCATTTCAAAACCTAAGAATAATTATATGAAATTGTGTACAAATTTATTAGAATCTAAAAACAAGCAGTATTCAGTATAACATTCTATCTAAAAACAAACCTTTATTGGAACTTGTAATTGCAGAGGATAAACCTGCTTCTCTTTTTTCTTCTTCAATATGCTTTATA